TTTTTTTTTTTTTTTTTTTCGATAAAATGCACTCTTGTAAGTATTGAAAAATATAAAATATTTCATTACAAAAAAGAAATAAAAAATTACAACGCAAATGTGCAAATTTAGTATCCGATGGCAATGTAAGGCGAAGAGGAAGAAGATGGAGAAGGAGAAGGCCACAATTGTGCACTCTTGACCTTTGAAATACTTGAAAGAACGCTCAATGGAGTTACGTCTCCAATCACAGTCACCTTCTTCGATTCCAAGTCTATGTGGAACGATTTCACTCCTGCAGTGACACCAAAATGTTTAGCTGAATACTTTTGTTTTTCTTTCAAAATTATCAAAACTCGGTTAAGAATTATGTTTTTTTTTCGAGTAATAATAATATACACAAAACAATCAAAAGAAAACTTGTTTGAATGAATAGGATTTTGTTTGGGTTTTAGGTCATGATATTTATTTGAAGTTAAGGATGCTTTGTTTATTTGGTGTAGAATACTTTTGATTATTGGTTATTATAAGATGTACATAAATTTAAGAATATTTTTTAATTATTTATTAATTTATATTGAAATTTTAATGTTAATAAAAACTGTAATTTCATATATAAATATCTCAAAAGTGTTTTTTATTGATACTGAAAATAAAAATAAAAATTGAAACAGATTGTAAAAATTGGTGTGACGTGTGAGAAACGATCTTTATCAATGTCCCATTAAATATGCAAAAGGAATTATTAAATCATGATATATAGATCAAAATCACGCTTTATGGTATACATTAAATAATTTTAGATTTGAACTACGTATTTTTAGTTGAAAAATATTATTTACGATTAACTAATTTTTACGTTTTAATACATAATTCATATATATTGGAGGAAAAACATTACCTTCCATTCTAGAAATATGTTTTCGTACTTTTCCTTCACAACCTTTGCAATGAATCGACACCCTGAGCTCCACAACCTGCAAAAATAAGTAGTTATTATAAAATATTATTTAAAAACAAAATCTTTTTTAAATAAAGAAAATATTTATTCCTCGATATAGTAACTTATCGATAGTATTTAACCATGAGATTCGAACAACCGAATCTTTGAGTTTGAGAAAGTACGGACAATATTAATCTGTCATTCATCTTTTTATATTATAAACTATATTTCAAATTTATTAATATATTCAATAAAATACCTAGAATCATAAATCAAAAGTGTTCAATAAGAATTTGAGCTTTATTAATTAATGCTTTTAATCATCAAATAATCCAAATCTTTTTTTTTAACACACTAATCTATCTCTTGTATTGTGCAAACCATAATTTTAATCTATTTAAGATATTTTCTAATTTTCATTTAAAATATGAAATGCATACGACATGTTATATTTTCTAATTTATAAAAATTGATTTTGAGTTGAATTGAATTGACCCTTAATTTACTCATGTTAATGTTACCAATCCGTTTGACCATTAAAAGACCAAAAAAGATTGGGTTTATCTGAATTCAAAAATTAATAAAAACAAATTCTGGATTATTAAATCATTTAAATAATTAAATAATCAACAACAAAATCCACTTTTATTCTGAACAGCTATTCACACACCTGATCACGGGAACGGGATCTCGAAAGTTTCGAACCAAGAGATTCCACCGGAGCATCCAATCGATTTGACGTCGACGACGATCTTGATTTTATCAACGCCGGCGATTCAGTTCCACGAGACTTTCCCGACGACAAAGACTTCTTGATCGGTGAATGATCATGGTAACCCGGCCAAACTTGTTCACTAACCACCAGTGCGCCGGCGTTGCAAACACCATCGGAATCCTGCAAGTCCGCCACAAAAATGGGGTTGTTCAGAAGATATCTAGACGACGAACCTCGCCCAGAATTTCTATCATTCAAATCAGCACTGCTTTTCCTTCTCGCCACCAACGCACGATCACTCTCATCGCCATTTCGACTACCAACACCACTTTTCGTTGTGGCGGCGGCGGTGGTGGCGGTGGAGGTGGAGGTGCTCTTTTTGTTTTTCTGGAGGTAAGCAGCGTAAGGCTTGGGATCAATATGTTGTTGAGACGTACAAGGAATTGCAGGTGTTTTGAATTTGGGTTTATCGCCAAAATCAAACTGGTAATGGTTGTTGTAGTAGCTATGGTGGCGGTGGTTTATGGGTCTTGGGGTGGAGGAACCGCCGCTGCCGCGGCGGACCATGGCATGCTGATTCATGGTGGTGCATATGGCGGTGGAGGCCGGTGATGCGCAAAAGAGTTCTGCCGTTTTGATTTTCATTCTTTTTGGCGTTTAGAGGAAAATGGATTTGTTTGTGTGAGAATGAAGGGTGTCGTTGATGAGTGTTATAAAGTGGGGGAAAAATAAAAAAAAAAGAAATAATATTTAACTAAAAAAATAAGGAAAAATAAAGCTATAAAAATAGTAATAAGGGATGATAAAAGGACGCCTCATGAGTAGCCATGATGATATATTTCCATGGTCGAAAAAAATAAACGAAATAAAATGTAGTTTTTTCTATTTTTAGACTCCAAATTTGTTATTTTAGGGGTCGTTTAACCATTTGATTTGAAATTAATTCGTAATCAAACTCTAAATTATGGAATCGAAGTTTACATGAATTTTTAAGATTAAAAAAAGGAAACCAGACAACCGAAAATTGAGTTTAAAGAGGGTAAAGAATCGAAAACCCATGCAAATTTATTTTTTGGCTATCTTTTCATTTAAAAGAAAAAATCTTCAATGATTGATCTTTTGTAAAACATTTTTTGTTTCTTTTATATCATATATTCAAAAAATTTATCAAAAAAAAAAAATGCTCCGCTTGTTATTATGTGTCTTTAGATAAATAAACTAGGATTGAGACCCGTATATTATACGGATTGATTTAAAAAATAATTAAACTTAAAGTATAAAAATAAAATATTTTTTAATATACAACTTTAAAATAAGAAAGAAAAGAAACGCATTTATTACAATTTAATATCATATATATGATTTTTAATACTTTACATATATATAAGTACATGACTTTAATTAAAAATTAAAACAAACAAAAAATTGATAAATGGATAATATTTATTTCAAAATTATCACAAAATGACAAGTATCAAAACTCATGAGAGATTGACAAGTGGCAAAAAAAAACCTTCATTTATTAAAGATGATTTATCCTTTTAATTTTTGTTCCTACCAATCCTCCTATCTTTTTAAATGTTTTTTAAATGATATCATCTTTAATATTAATATATTAAAATATCATTAGATTTTATTAAATAAATATTAAATATTACATATATCATTATTTAATCAGGTGGGAAGATTTATAGGAACAAAAATAAAAAAATATTTAATTTTTCGTGTCTTTATGATTAATGACACCATTTGAAAACTAGAGATTACAATTCATGACATCAAGGTAAAAATACAATATAAAATGAAATTAACATTCAAATTTGTTTTTATGTTTTGTTGATGTTAAATGTAACAAAATTGATATTGTGTTATGTCGTATTAATATTCAAAATTCAATACAAAATTAACAAGATATTAATATGTATTTGTCATGTTTTGTAAAATTAGATTTGTATTAAATAAACTAAATGTTTTGAATTTGTTTTTATCTTTTTTGTGTTTATCGTGTTGGTCATTTATATCTTGTTTAATTAGATCATTTTCATATTAGTAAAACAAAACACAACATTGTGTCATGTTGTGTCTATGTTATATAAAAAATGGTAAACTGCACCATCTGTGAAACCAACAAGGAGCATCAATCGTGGAACATTAATAATATTTTAGGTGTACAAGAGTTTGTACCATTGACCTCTTGTGTCGAATTAAATTCATCGACCACTAGGCTTTAATCACGGAGGTTTGTTTATGTTATATAAAATTTATCGTGACATGTCAACTAAAACCACAAAATTACTATCTTATTTGACACCTCTATTTAAACCAATCAAATATTTTTTATCTTTAATTTTGCAAAATGTACCTATTATTAAGTTGTTGCTATATGTATCACATTTCTTTATATATTCTACTCACATTATATTTTTGTTTATGATGTATTTTATTTTTACTTTCACAAACCCCTTTAATTATTATTATTATTATTATTATTATTATTATTATTATTAGAGTAAATTACATGAATGGTCCTTATGGTTTGGGATAATTGCATGTTTGGTCCCTAAATTGTTTTTCTAACTTGGATGGTCCGTAAGATGTATTTTTATTGTGCGTTTGGTCTTTACTAGATCTAAAAAGACTATATTGCTCTTTTTATTGTTTATCTTATTAAATAAAAAAATGTTTAATGAATAGGTTATGTCCCACCCGTTCCCCTTACTTTCTTTTTCTTGCACAACTGAATATGGTAAACTCATTCCTCATCATCGATGTTTTCCTTTCTCATCCTCAACCATCCACCTACTTCTCTATAGACTTGTAACTTATCCCTCATTCTTTCTTTACCATCGAGTTGCATCGGCGTCCTCCCCTCTCCATTACCTACCTTTTCATACCCGATGGAACCCCGACCCCTAAATTATCCTTTTGTAACCTAAATATCATTGAAAGACTTTTACTCACGATGACGAACACGCCAATCAGTTGCTGCCTGCCCCACATATCGTCTCCACTCTTTCGGTCATACATGACACACAAAGCACCTTTGTTTCTGATTTGTTGTGTGACTGTCTCACATGTAATTGATGTTTTATATTGTCGTTGGTATCCATCATCAAACAATCACCACCAGCCTCCATCATCAAAATGACCATCACCGACCTCCAATATCAATTCGATCGTCATTAGACTCAGCTAAGATATATTTCAGTTGCTCTGTATAAACTCTTTGTCTAGTTTTAAGTCTTGTTGCATAAATATGTGACACTGAGTGTTTGGTTTCAAGTTTGTGAGTGTGATTTCAAGTGTATCTACATAAATCGAATATCAGTTTCAATTCTTGCTCCTTGTATGATTTGTGTTTTAATTTTGATCTAAGGATTTCATTATTGATTTATGTTTCAATGTTTAAATATGATATCTTATTTCAAGTCTTCATGATAAATATGATACATGATGTCAATGCTTATTGATAAATCTAATTTTAGATGCAATAGTTTTAACTTTGGCGACACGGTGTTTAATGGTAGTGTAGGAGATGATAGATGGATTTCTAGGGAAGAGGGAAAGTCACATACATGAAACGAAAATGGAAAAAAGAATGAGGAAAAAGAGAAGGTGGGTAAGGATTAAGGGTTGAGGGTGTGTTTATTTAAGACGTGTGGATATTAGGGCAAGAAAAGGGGAGCGGTAAAGCAGGTTTCTGACGAAGGGAAAGGAGGAAGGAGTGGGTGGTGGTGATGTTAGATGAACTCGTCGATAGAATGAAGAAGATGATGTGAATGTGAAGATGATTGAGGGGTGGGAGTGGAATCATCTTTTTTGATAAATAGGTTTTAATAGATAAATAAGAAATACATAATAAAAAATTTTTAAAAAAACAAATAAGGGTAATTAGTCTTTTTAGGTATGGTAAGGACTAAACACGCAACAAAACTACATCTTAGGGACCGTTCGATTTAAGAAAAACATTTAGGGACCAAACGCAAAGATTACCCCAAACCATAGGGAACGCATAAAAGTACAACCATTTATCTACCAACATTTAAAAATACCCTTACATTTTGTTTATACAAAAAAAAAAAAAAAAAAAAAAAAAAAAAAAAAAAAACCTTTATATTTTTCAGTTACCATTCATATTAACCAAAATATCCAATTTTTTAAAGAAATTATCCATTATTTTGTGACATGACATTTATCTTTTATATTTATAGGTTAACATGAAAACAAAAATAAGTGACATTACCTCTTGTTTAAGGTAAAATGTGAGAAATTGATCATTTACTCAACGACCATTTACTCAAGCAAAAATAAGTGATCTTGCTTTTTTTTTTCTCATATCAACCTAAAAATGAACAAGATAAATATCATGTCACAAAATAACCAATAAATTATTTAAAAAACGGATATTTAGGTAAATCTAAAAGGTAATTGAAAATGTAAATGCTTTTCTGCTTATAAACAAAATATAAGAGTTTTTTTTTTTAATGTTGGTATATAAATGGTTGAGATCTTTCTGTATTTCCCTTATTATTATTTTTGGTATCGTTGTCGTTGACGTTGTCGTTGTAGTTTGTCTTAATTTGTATTTTATGTGATTTTTTCCTAATATCTTAGTCTTAATATTTCTATTTTCCACTAATTGCATATATTAATGTCTATTTTTTCCACTTGTATTATCCTCGTGGTGAAGATGAGAGTGAGGATGAGTGCGAGGGTAAGATGAGGCCAATTGATAAAGAATACCTCCTTAGTATTTACTTCACCAACGTAGGAATCCTTTAAGAATGCATTGGATAATTTAGTTAACTCATTAACAAAGAATTATGAAACAAAAAATGAACGTGACAAGAAAAAAAGGCTATTAAACTAAGATTATGCCTCTTTGTGAGCTTGAAAGTTCTGCAAGCATGTTTCATAGACAATTCCAATAACACCCATTAGTCTTATATGTACTTCAAACTCACATCAATAAAGTCTTCACTCTTGCACCATTATTGTATGTTAGGGATGGAAATGAAATATTTTACATTCCTAAAGAAAGTGGATGCCATGGAAATAGGTTTGACCAAAAGATCTCCATAGTCAAATTTGATCCCGTCTTCTTCTTGAATAGATTTGGCGTATTTTTCTCATTTGTTATTTCTGTTATCCAATATAACATTGGTACATGATTTTCCTTTAGTTTCGTTTACCTTTTCATACTAATAGATAAACGGTTTCTCCGCATTGTCTTGTATATCTTGGATTATTTCATTCATGTTGAATCTTACTATGTAGAAAACTTATAATGTCTAATCCTTGTGAAGTAAGGGTTCCAAGTCAAAATTTCCAGGTTTTCAACCCCTTAACAAATACAAACATATTTTCCTAATTTTAATCATCTTTGGGCGATAAAAATGTCTACCAACATTCCCTTTTTGCATACATATCCCAAAATTCACGATTCTCCATGCTAGTAAGGAAGTTTGTAACGTAAATTGTTGGCGAAATTTTGTGAACATCAGAAACATTGGACATGGCCTATCGATAGGCAAATCTATTGCAAATGCATGTCTTGATGTCCTTTATGCCTTTCTACATAACTGTATCCCCCTTTATGCTCCATTAATACCCGAAAGATACAAAAACAACGAAAAATAAACATT